CAAAGTCTCTCTCACCCACCACATGTTTTTAGACGATTCACAAAAATATGATTACAAATGATTGGGAATGTATATATAAAGTAATAATAATACTGAGAACAATACTAAATTATGAAATTTGAGTCTTGCATCACAATAAGTGCATTGTGATTGTCAAAGCATTTAGTAACTAGTGACAACACATGTTACTACATTTTTATAATATTGCAATCATTCCTCTGCTCTGTCTTTTCTGTCTTCCCTCCTGGACGGCACACTCAATTTGATCTTATACTTCTAACAGAGGAAATCTATGTATAGAATAGACGACATAACTTTCCTTATAAGGAAACTGTGCTTCAGTGTATAGATCATGCAACATGCTTCAGTTGAACACATGTTGCATTGCACACACTCTTGTGCAGCCAAATAAAGTCTCTCCACATGTAAAGACACACCCTGACTTCACTAAATACATTACATAAATAATAATACTGAAAATAATCAAATGTTCTGATTATACCTTGAACTCATATCACACCAAGGCAGTGTCAATAGTGGCTTGTACATGCTTCTCCATGCAAGTTTCAGTCATTTGCAACACCAAAATGAACAGCCCACCGCGTTTCAACAGCTCAAAGTTTATCTGTTTAACATTTTGACACATATTTCATAAAACGATTTTTCTATTCACAGAACAAAAATCCAACTTTTTGAATCTTTTAGTCCCAAGTAAATGATGATAAATTGCATCCACTGCTTGATGAGTGGCTTGCAGTGCAGAAGATGGAGTTAATAAGGTAACTTTAATCAATACTCACGGAAAAAAACTGCTTCAAAAATGACATTAAATGAATGGCTATTTAGCCTGTACAGATCCTAGAAATCGATAAAAAAAATTAAAAACAGCTGCACATTTAATTTATCCATTTTATATTATGGTCAGATGGATGTTTTCTTATAAATCCAGAAATTCGTCATGCTTTTCGTCAGGTGTCTTTTTTAATTAGCCTACATGATGTGAATATGTTGTTGTCTCTTTTTAAAAAACTATTATGAATGAATGAATGAATTGGCGTTTATATTTTTGGACTGAGTGGAATTAGCAGATGGTCCCTTTAGCAGCGAATATCAAACCTAAATCTAACTTTTATCAAACCTAAATCAAACCTAAAATCTAACATTTACTTCCACTTCAAATGCGCAGTCAAATACAAAATACAAGCATTAAAACAATTACCCCATTTTAAAACACTTGAATAACTCAAATCAACTCATACCTGTCTCAATGGTCCAACTCCAAACTCACATCTGGCTCTAGTCTAGGGCTTTCGAGTCTGACGACAACACGAGGGCGTGTTTTTCCAATGACCATATGCGCAGTTACACACACCACGCACACACACACACACACATCAGAAACAGACACATGTGACTCATAACGGGATCGGACCATTGACTGTAAAAAAAAGGAATTTTATTAAGTAATTTAAATAGAGCTGATCAAGGATTTATCTTGACCTCGATCCTCCTCTTAAAATCATTTCATATTTGTCATCACGGTTTTCTTCGGAAATTCAGTAAACTTTATTTTCCTGTTATCACTCTGAAACCATCTGTATTGTAACACAGATTATAAACAGGACTTGACTTGAAGAGAAAAATAAGTTTATCACTATTGAGTGCATTAAAAGTTTGTTGAAATCAGAGATGTATAGTAACGAAGCAGAACTACTTAAGTACTTTACTTAAGTAGCTACTAATATGCTGTATCTGTACTAAAGCGCCTTATTTGATTGCTAGTTCAAACTTTTGACTACTTTCTTTAATAATTACATGACACAATACTTGTACTTTTAGTCTTTAGTGAATTTTAAAATAAACTACTTGAAATACGTAAGTACAAAAAATGTTGTACACTTTAGTACTTCTACTACTGTTGATTTTATACTCGAAAAATGCACGTATCATTCCTTAAAAGTTAATATTGCCCCAGAACAAATTGTATTGTTAGCCCACCCCAAAACGTACACACAATAATAACGATAAATGCTGGCCGATACTTAATTATGTTTCCTTTGTTTTACTGACAATTATATAATTTAATAAAACAAACAAAATTTATTTAGTTTTGTCTTATGACTTAGCTGTGTATGAATACACTGTAGTCTAGATGCAGTGAAATTAAATTAAATAATTATATTTTATTAACTGCCAACAATAAGAAACATGATTAAATAAGTAAAAGAAAAAATAAAAGTAACCATCACTAAACAAATAGACAACACATGAAACTTTATTCAAACTGCAAGCATGTATTTGCAGGCGCTGAACCCCAATCGTACTGCCGTCTCAACACAGCGGTTCCCAGTCTGCAGGTTTATTCTGACCACCAGGGGTGAGCCGTGCCTTCGTCCCGTTCTATAAATGGCTCAGCAAAACAGGTTAATAATAGACTATTATCTACCATTATTCATTTTAATTATATAAATGTCTAATTAAAACATTTACAAATGTATAAAACTGATCAGAGATCAGGTAAAACCCACAAACATATGGCACAAACCGCCTTACTCAGATCACCCGCACAAATCGCCGGACATTGGGGGATCGATCTTTTGCCATTGCTGCCCCCACCCTTTGGAATTCACTCCCTACATGCATTAGAAACTCTGTTTCACTATCAAATTTCAAAACAGCACTCAAAACTCACCTGTTCAAACTAGCATTTCCTTAGAACACCTTTATTTATTTATTTTTATTTTGCTTTATTTTGTCTTTGTCCCATGTGAAGCGTCTTTGAGTGTCCAAAAAAGCGCTATACAAGTGTGATGTATTATTATTATTTATTATTAAACACTGTTCATTGGTTCTGGGAGATTCATAGGCTGACGCCGGAGTTCAGTGTAAGTGCTGTTTAACGATGATAATTAACCTACAGTGATCACACTTACCACATGCTCTGCTTGTACAAAACACTCGCAACATTGTTCAAAAATGTGCAATTTTGATATTTTTAGGTCAAACCGTTCTTGTCTCATACGGTCACCACCTCAAATAGCATGCACAGAAAAGTCCAAATTAAACATGATTTAATGACTCGTAAATGTAAGTACACATTGATGGCCTAAGACACGAAACGAGCGGTTTGTGTGAGTATTTATAGCGTTTTTACTAGGGATGTAACGATTCACTCAACTCACGATGCGAAACGATTCACGATACCGGTTTCACGAAACGATTTTTTTAACAAATGAGATTTAAGACAAATTATAAATGAAATAAATAAAAAGTCTCTTTTATAATTTCTCAGACAAAATGCTGCACATGTATTTGTAAAATAATAAAACTACATTGAAAAAAATATCAAGGTTGTTTCTGTCTGTCTGGTCAAGAGGCTGGACACTGGTCACCTTTGCACACTAAATAAAAGGTTGTAAAATTAGTAGGCCTACCACATTGACAGGCGTTTTACATTGCAATAAAGGAAAGATTTTAATTTTGTCATAATTTGCATCATTAAACTAGAAAGAGTTAAAAAAAAAAAAAGGAACACATTTAGCAAAATATGCCACAACCATCAACAAATTATTGAAAAAAATAAATAAATCCATGTACACGACATTTAGAGAAAGAGATAGTAAAATAAATACGACACATTGTTGCCATGGAAACACTGATGCACCTTGCGATTTCCGTAGCTCTCACACACTTGTCGTATTAATGACTTTTTCGTGAAAACGGAGGTGATGTGCTTCTCATGGTGGTGATTATTATTAGTCTACCAAGAGTCAAAATGCCGCCACAGCTCCGATTTGAATGAGTCAACATCTACGCTTGCCGTCGCCATGTGTTTGACAGCGCGTGCACAAAGGCGCGAGCGGAGCAAACCACGAGCTTTCAGTTCATTACTATGAGTTTATATCGTTTTACAAGCTCAAGTTCCTTAGGAATGAAGTGAAAACACTCGCTAGGTTCGCGCCAGTGTGTGCTCGCTGCTATTGTGCCTGTAACACCGTGTCCTAACTACACGCGACGCGATAAAATTACAGCGACAGCAAGTGTGTCTGTCCACACTAGACGCGACTGTGAGACGCCACACATTCAGAACAGCGTGTGGGCGGAGTCTCTCTGTGAAAGCGCACTGCTGGCCCGCACTCGCATTGGAAATGGGTAAGGACATAATCAAATCAAGAAATAACATTCATAAAACCCAAAAAATTAACAAAATATACTCATTGACTAATTTTGTTATGAAGTAGAGTTGTATGTTTGCATAGAATTCATTTTGAACGCTATATTATATGCTTTCAAAATCGGAGGTAAACTATCTGTTATCACTTGTGACACAGTGACCTATTTTTAACTAAAAATAAATAATGTGTACTCATAACTAGTGTAATTTCTTCATTCTGTCAGTCGCGACGTCGCAGAAATAGGAAACGTTTCTAAATTAGAAACTTCGCGTGTCGCCGTCTGGTCTGGTTAGGACAAAAACTCTGATTAACATGGAAAAGATACCTTTTATCGCGTGTCGCGGTGTCGCGTGTAGTTAGGACACGGTGTGAAGCGAGGTTCACAACTTCACAGGCTATTCAGTAAACGTCCCTGCTGTTTAAAATGTAAATCGCGATTCGTTTAACATTTCAACTGACTTGAATCGTTACACATTTTTATCGATTTTCAACCGGTTGCGAGTGAATCGTTACATCCCTAGTTTTTACCTCTTGTGACCACAGCCACGTCCAAGTGATCTAAAGGCGCCGGCGCTTTGTGGCTGTCGTTACACGAGGTAAAACGATATAAATACTGTTGGTTTTCTCACACAATCTGCTCGTTTCGTGTCTTAGGCCATCAATGTGTACTTACATTTACGAGTCATTGAATCATGTTTAATTTGGACTTCTCTGTGCATGCTTTTTGAGGTTTGTGACCATAGACCTCCATTATATGACTGATAGACACAAACGGTTTGACCTAAAAATATCAAAATTGAAAATACTGTGGAAACAAAGACACCTACATCTTGGATCCCCTTGAGGTAAGATAAAACATATCGAAAATTAATTTCAAAGTGAACTATCCCTTTAAGACGCCATCTCTGCCTGCTTTGTGTTAATATCAACATGCATTAAAGAACTGCTCCGCGTTAGCATGGATCTGATCACACGTATGCGGCTTCTCTCTGCTGTGGATCCTCTCATGTGATTTCAGATTTGTTGACTGACTGAATCTCTTGTCACAGTGTGAACACTTGTAAGGTTTTTCTCCAGTGTGGGTCCTCTCATGTGATTTCAGGGTCGATGGCTGACCGAATCTCTTGTCACAGTGTGAACACTTGTAAGGTTTTTCTCCAGTGTGGATCATCTGGTGCCGTTTTAAATCTTTCCATTCAGTAAAAGTCTTCTCACACTCAAAGCACATGTACTCTCTCACACCAGTGTGTATTTTGCGATGTGCATGTAAAGCTTGTACCACTGAAAAACTCTTTCCACACACAGAACATGAATACGGCTTCTCCTTCGTATGAACTGTCAGGTGTGCCTTTAGGTCTGATGACCTATGAAATGCTTTGCCGCAGTGATCACATGTAAACGGCTTCTCTCCAGTGTGGATGCTCATGTGTCCTTTAAGGTGTCCTGATTGAGTGAAACTCTTTCCACATTGATTACACACGTGTGGCTTTTCTCTGGTGTGGATCCTCATGTGCAGCTTATGTGCTGTTTTCTGTGTGAAACTCTTCCCGCATTGATCGCAGTTGTACGGCTTCTCTCCTGTATGAATTCTCATGTGAACCTGTAACATTTGTTTCTTTGAGAAACTCTTTTCACATTGATTACACATGAACGGCTTCTCTCCGGTGTGAACTCTCATGTGATTCTGAAGACTTGGTTTGATTGAGAAGCTCCTTCCGCACTGATCACATGAGAACGGTTTCTCTCCGGTGTGGATTCTCATGTGAATCTGAAGACCTTGTTTGTATTTTAATCTCTTTCCGCATTGATCACATGTGAACGGCTTCTCTTCAGTGTGAATGCTCATGTGAACGTCAATATTTGGTTTGTTTGTGAAACTCTTTCCAAACTGAGTGACATGATGTTTCTCCTCCACTTCACTCTCCTCTTTCACTTCCATCAGATCTGAAATTCAATGTGAAGAAAAAAAGAAGTCTAATTTCATTTTCAGTACATCTGATACAATAAAGTGGAGTAGATCAGTGTTTCTCAAACTAGGGGTCTGCAGAAGGCAATAGAGGGGTAGCATAGAAATTCCAGAAATTCTAGATGATCTATATTAGAAAATTATTTAAATGTACCAGTATGTAAAACAGGATTGTCAACCCTAAAATTATGATGTACAAAAAAATTAGAAATACAGAAAAAAACAAAGAAATATCAGATAAAAAAATATCTAAAAATATAGCTGCGAGCATCGATTACGGGCCCAAGACGATGTCACCGCAACCCCGGTTCCTTTAGTGGCGGTGCCACCGGATTTGGCCCTTCATCATATTTATATATATATATATATATATATATATATATATATATATACAAAGACACAGAGAATATTAGGGATGCACCGAAATGAAAATTCTTGGCCGAAACCGAAAACCGAAAAAGAGGAAACCAAGGCCGAAAACCGAAACACCGAAATAAATTATGCCAATTATTAGTATCATTGCATTTATGGCTATGACTGTGTACAAACTTTACTAAAATCAAGGCATTGCAATTGCATAAATTAATATAACATTTTAAAAGAATAAATCAATTACAATATTTGCAAATATTTATTTAGCACAATGCACAGTATAAAATAAAATTCAAACTAAAATGTTTAACTTGACCCCACTCATGTGTACACTAAATAATAATCTACTGGCCTGCAGAAAGGTTTTAAAATGAAATGTTCTCTCAAAAACAAAGCCGAGCGCAAACTTCTCATTACACTAGCACCCAGTTTGCACGTCTAAATTAGTTACATTTTAAAAATTTAGCATACAATAGCATAAAAAGCCTTTTTAAATGAACAATGGTCCATGTTTAATACAAATGTACATGAAACTTAATGAAACATGTTTAGTGAATGTAGAAAATATTTAAGAGAGCATTAATTTAGTTCTATACATACATGTTCCCATATACATATTTTTTTTGTAATGTAACAAGCAATAATCTCAGGGTTTACTGGGTTTTACATGATTATTTTTGTATTGGTGGTGGAATACTAAAAAATAAACATTGTCATGTATTTATCTGTCTTCTTCTCACCGATTCCTGATTGGTTAGAGGACAGCTACTTGAGTCGTCCCCTGTCGTTTCAAGGAATAGTACAACAAGACGCGCAACGAAGTATAAACGCCTCGATGCACGCGCTGTTTGTGGAGACTCGCGCTGCCTTGTTTACTTTCACCTGCCTCTGCAGCGCGAGTCTTATTTATAATTTTTAATTGTTTCATCCACCTATATCTGCTCTAAACAATGCGTGCCGCCATGACGACGAATCCGGTTGTGAGCGGGTCAAAAGCGGTGCGCGCGCTGTCTGTGGAGACTCGCGCTGCCTTGTTTATACTTTCGCCTGCCTCCGCAGCGCGAGTCTCCACAGACAGCGCGCGCACCGCTCTTGACCCGCTCGCAACCGGATTCGTCGTCATGGCGGCACGCATTGTTTAGAGCAGATATAGGTGGATAAACAAGGTTTCCATCTCCTCGCGGGTTCAGATACACTGAAATACTTCCACACCGCAGACATGTTGCTTCAGACAAGCACGTGCAGGTCGCGGTTTCTGTTTGCGTCATCACAACATTTCGGCCGTATTGTTTCGGTGATAAAAGTCTTTCGGCCGAAAACCGAAAATGCACTTTTGGGCCATTTTCGGCCGAAAATTTGGTGCATCCCTAGAGAATATTACTTGCCTCACCTGATTAGAACAATGAAAAAATAAAACAAATTACTAGGGAATCACTAAACCGAGAGAATTATTCTGATTTGATGATAGACTCAAAATATTACACCAGCAATCCTTTGAATTTAATATTAAGTATGAAATGTCAAAGCTGACTTAATTAAAAATAAATAAATACACAAAGAAATGTAAAAAAGCAAAAATACATAAATAAATGCAGAAATTAATATACAAAGAAATCTAAGACAGTACAAATAAATGAGTATTTATACTTTTATTTCCTTATGTATAATTGTATTTTTATTTATTTATACATTTATTCATTTCCACTTTCATTTACAGTCCTTTACTTTTCATTTACCAGTTCTTCTTGTCTTAGTCTCTGTTTTTTCTGTTTCTTCATATAATTTCAGATGCACTCTGATGGTGAGATCGGACCTCCGTGTGGAGCATTGGCTGTTGTCAGAATTCTTGTGCATTCAAAAATTTCACTGGATTATTACAATTAATGGCACAATTAATGTCTGGAAATGTAAACTGATATTTCCTACTGAGACACTACAACAAAATATTTAAATAATTTCTTTGAGGCGAAAATACTAGTGTGCCTAAGGCCCTGTTTACACGAGAACGCTCGCGGGTGAAAACGTAAAAATATTTTATCGGATGTGCCTTTCGTTTACACGGCGATGGCGTTTTTGAGGCTTAAAAACGCAAAAAAGTGAAACCACCCTCCAGAGTGGAAATCTTAAAAACGCTCCACCGCCGCGTTCCCGTGTAAACGGTAAAAACGCAAAAGTCTGCTTGAGAGTGAAGGTTGTTCTCAGGCGCGCGGACTTGGTGTTGTTGTAGTATGCACTCCTAGCTGCCTGAAGTGCATACCACATTGAATTTCACACACTTTTGCGTCACCATTTGCATGCGGATTTCCCACACAAAACGCTCGTCTAAACGCAGAATAAAAAGTGATGACGCAACGCCACTTTTGCGTTTTCTCTTCAGAATCGTTTCCGTGTAAACATAGCCTCAGACTTCTGCACAGTACTGTATTTCTACATTAATTTATGTATTTATGTTTTCATGTCTACATTTATTTATTTCCATATTTAATTATTTCCACATTTATTTATTCCAACATTTCTTTCTCTGCATGCTAATGAGGGGGACGTGTTTTAACTCAGACATCAGCAATGGAGCTCAGAGTGGCAGTGCTGAAGCTTTGAGGCCACAGTGACACCTTGTGGTGTGTGACCAAACGAAACGCAAGAGCTGTGAAGGCAATATCACATTTTAAGTCGTGTATATCAACCTAACTGTATGTAGGATAGGCTATATAGGCTTAACACGCATAGCACACATGAACAGAAACTGCTCTTCAACGGGTCTGATAGCAGATACTTGGACATGAGAGCGCGTTTAAATATTCAATATTAATAACAATGTAAACGTGGTGGCTAGGGCTGATAGCTTGCGTTTATTGCCGATGAGACTCGCTCACCAGCGCAGAGAGAAACCCAAATCAACGCGATTTACATCTGCGTTTCCTAATTTCGTATGCATAACAGGTGACAATTCAAATACTTAAAACACAACCCATATTTAGATGCTGCTCTTAGATACTGATTAATCACAAGTCACCAATTTTGAATTATTCTTAAATCAAACAAAAGGGGCTCATGTAAACACAGTGAGTCACGCATCTCATGTGGAAATAAATAAATGTATAAATAAACAGTGAAAATAAATAAATGTAGACATAAATACATAAATGAATGTAGAAATAAATAAGTGGAAAAATACACGTTTGTATTTTTTTTTTTTTTACATTTCTTTGTATATTAATTTATGCATTTTTACATTTCTTTGTATATTAATTTATGCATTTTTGCTTTTTTACATTTCTGCTTATATTTATGTATCAAGCATGTCTAAATATACCCTATCTTTAGTGCGATTGGATATATACTCATATCAAATGCACAGAAATAATATGTACAGAAATTATGCATTAACTGAATGAAGAAAATTCTAACATGAATGTTCTCCAGCATCATGAATGAATGAAGAATAAACACCAACCTCTTTGTTCTTCAGGATCTTCAGTGTGTTTCATTCTGCAGGGTTCTGGATCACTCATGTTCTCTTTAATAAACTCAGTCTTTGCAGATTTCAGCTCTTCCATTGCTGCTCGAAATACTTGGAGCTGATGGGAATTTACAGTATTTATTGGAGAATTGTTGTGGGAGGAGCTTAACTGATGATGTGGCTGCTGTGTGAGCAGCTGATCTGTCAAAAAACAAAAAAACAGTGAGTTTTATCTCTCAATATTTGTTAGAAATTGTTTGATAGCAATAATTCAATGTTTTGTTTGGTAAAGGTCTGTCATGGATAAATGACGATTAAACCATCACAGGGCTTGATGCTAACTTTTCTTAGAAGGAGCACATGTGCTCAAGTTTAATTTGGGATTGCAGTACGATTTTTAGGGGCGCAATTGACATTTACAAAAAAAAAAGTTTTTCCTTAAAGGGATGGTTTGGAGTAAAATCAACCCAGGGTCAGGGTCATTTGTGTTCTGCAAATAATGACACACTAGCAAAAACCTGCCTTTCAGATATTTCAAGAGATGACAGGAAATTAACATTTTCAATATAAGAGCATCATAAATGAATGAAGAATAAACACCAACCTCTTTGTTCTTCAGGATCTTCAGTGTGTTTCATTCTGCAGGGTTCTGGATCACTCATGTTCTCACTGTCCTCTTTAATAAACTCAGTCTTTGCAGATTTCAGCTCTTCCTGATGCTCTGATGCTCGTCTTCACTTGCTTTCACTCATCTTTCCCAATTGTCTAATAATAACTAGTAAGATAAAGTAAACCAAAAATACATTAGTGTTTTATAAGTGCTTTACTTAAAAGTGTGCTATGAATAATTTTTATTTACCGTCTCATTCACGTTTGTCTAAGCTTTAGTCATGATATAGTTTGTTTTCATTCATTGTTCATTCAGAATTCTTCCTTTGAGTTTTCCACATACAGAAGACGCCGTTGTAAAAAAACAAAACAATGTACTTAAGATTATTAGTAAGTGGACAATTTGTTAAAGTGTTTCCCAAACCTGTCCTGAAGGACCGTAAGCCCGTTTTAAGATATAATAAGCCCGTTTTCTTTGTCTCCCTAATCAAAGACACTTGATTCAACTCATCGATCAGCTCATGATTTAATTAAAGGATTAATTCACTAAAAAATGTAAATGTCCTGACGATTTATTCATCCACATGTCATCCGAGAAACTCCATCCCTTGCTCCAAATTTAAAGTCGCCCGACATTGTTGTTTTTCCACGTTCGTTGTAACCTCTGTGCTTTTAACACTGCGGGATAACCACGTCACAGCCACAGACAGACGTGACTTTTCCGGCGCGATGACGTCATCGTACGTCGCGCAAATGAAGAACACCGAAGTCGAGCAATTTTGTCATTAAAACTTTTTTTTTAGATCCTTTTAGATCCCGACTGGGATTGTGCAGAGCCATTCAAAGCCCTTCGAACAGCATTGATTTTAATAATATTGACCTGCATTGTTGTTGTTTTTTTGTTGCATTATTCAATAATTAGAAATCTACAACATTTCCACAAGTATGTTAAACAAATAAAATCATTCTTCCACTGTATAAATGTCTACCCTCCCTGACTTGTCACATCTAAATTTTTCAATTGGCCAAAGTGAAATTGTGCAAAGTGATAAAATTAAATTAGCAGAATTTCACTTGGGCCAATAAAAAATTTAGATGTGACCAGGCAGTCACTAAAAAAAAGTTAGGCATTTTTTTAAAGGACAAAGAAGTTAAAAAAAGAAAAGAAAAAGAAACACCAAAATTTATATAATTTTTTAGTAAAGTCTGTCTTTACTGAAATATGAGCAGAATAAATCACCTTCATGGCGGTTATTGTATAAAACCCCCTGCCAAAATGGTCTGGTGATTTACAGTTATTTATGTGAATATTCAGATTCTTAATTTTGTACTTTTTGTAATGAATTTGACACAGTCTTTCATGTGTTCTGAATGCTGTAAATTATCTCCGCTTTTTAATGTTTTGGATAGAAGTTTGAACTTAGTGTTTATGGGGTGCAGATTTCATTTTTTTATATTTTCGCATTATTTTTTATATTTTCATATAATTTACCTTTTTTCTACACACTGTCCCTTCTCGTAAACCGGTCTGATTTCCTAGTTATAAGAACGTAAGTTACACAGTTTTATTATTTATTTATTTTTCTAATCAGATCCATTACTCATGCGTCCAATACAGTAGGTGGCGGTAATACTCCAACGGAGTGAGCAGCCATGAAACGGAAAGAAGAAGAAGAAGGAGGAAGTATTGTAAACACACGCGCCAATACTGCCTTTTCAATTTCAGCGCGAATTCAAACTCGGAGAATATTATTGGATGGAGAGGAGTCGAGCAGAACTTGTGTACGAACGGCTGTTACAGGACGTTTCAGAATAGTATGTTTTTTGTAGATGTATTATACTTTTGTTATTTGTATACCACGATACTTCTACCGCTACTTTTTACTACAACACACAAATACAGTCGAGTTCATACAATCGTTTTAACTCATTATTAGAATCCTCGAAGGGATTATTTGATCATCTCTCTCTCTCTCTCTCACACACACACACACACACACACTCTCTCTCTCTCTCCCTCTCTCTCTCTTCAAATGTAGCCAAATATCTGTCCAGAACTATGAGCATATTACAAGACCACCATGGTTTAACCACAGTAAAGAAAATATTTACACAGAAGTATGCTTAATATTACCCGTAGCCATGATATCATTATTTTATGCAGTGTTTCAGACTTATCCCTTGATAAAACATGAACAAAAACATACAGTGAACTAGAGCATTTGTATTATCTGACATTTATTAGCCACAAATCGAACACAAAACTGAAAAGGGTATTTTAGCGTTGGAATATATCTGTATTATAAAAGGGAAGATTCTCAAAGCCTTTAAAGCTAAGTTGTTTAATACGACACGTTTAAATATTATATCGACAGTAGACACACTGTATAGAAAAACATTAATTTTCTAATCACACCCTGAGAAAGGGATCGTTAAACATGATTGCAATATTAACACAGAAACCTAAAGACCATAAACCTGAAGGCAAATGGCTGGTACATTAACATGATCTCCTCAATGCATGTTTCAGCAGCTGCACATTATGATACTTTAATATCTCTATTAAGTTCAACACAATTCTGTTGAGACCAAACATAGTAGGACACAAGTGGGAAGAAGCATGTTTGTCCTGTGAAGCAAATGAAATGGCACAGATGTTTATCAGATGTAAGAGACACATCAGTCCTCAATCTGCATAATGACGATTCCCTCTGATTCACAGCGTTAGCATACTGAGGTGATGAGGCCGTTGTCCCACAATTAATTTACATGCGTACTTTTAAAGTGACAACTGCTGTACTAGGGCAGTAAATGGGCCAGTAATACCCATATTTCACGTCAATAGTTCCTGTTTTCACCTCATTTATTATGCTGATGTCTTCTGATCTCCTGTAAACTGACACTCATTTCATTGGCATCAACAGGCTGAGGTATTCATTTATTAAAGGGATAGTTCACCCAAAAATGTAAATTATGTCTGTAATTATTCTCCCTCATGTTGTTCCAAGACTTTCGTTCATCTTCAGAACACACATTTAGATATTTTTGATTAAATATAAGAGCTGGATCACTCCTCCATGGGCTTCTATTGTAATTGAAACTTGCTGACGCAGAAAGTTAGGGAAGACATTGTTAAAATAGTCCAAGTGATTACAGAGGCTCAACCATACATTTTATCTAGCGATGAGGATACATTTTGTGCGCAAAAAAACAAACAAACTGTGTTTTAGCATCAGTTACTTTAAAGACAAACAGAAATAAATGCTTATATGTGTTATTAAGTATAAAAACAAACTCAGTACTGATATATTTTATTTTTATTTTGGGCAGATCAGTACCTCCCAATAAAACTTACTATAATTGAAGCCCCTCCCACACCATTACATCATCAGTGAATCCCCTCCCACATCATTACACCATCAGTGAAGCTCCTCCCACTGTAATTCCCTATAAATGCTGGAATATTCCCATCTGCTACAAGTGAAGACGAGCATCAGGAAGAGCTGAAATCGGCAAAGACTGATTTTATTAAAGAGGACAGTGAGAACATGAGTGATCCAGAACCCTGCAGAATGAAACACACTGAAGATCCTGAAGAACAAAGAGGTTGGTGTTTATTCTTTATTCATTCATGATGCTGGAGAAAATTCATGTTATAAACATTTGAATATGTAATGAATTTTCAAGCACTTTTAGATATGCAGTTAAACTATAAAATGGGTAAAAATGTTTTTGTTTGTTAGTTTTAACAAATGGTTAGTAATGTGAGGTTTATACACTTTTTGTCAACATCAGGCCAAACTAAATATTCTAGCTATGTAATGTAACATTTATTTGCATTGTTTTTCAATATAGTTATCTTTATAATAACCATAAGTAAACGACAAACTAAATCAAGTAAATCAACTTTCCAGAATGGCTGACAGGATTGTAAGCATAACTTAAGCAAAACTTGATTTATAGTTAGTTGTATTTCTTATAAATAATATAAGTGTCGCATTCATTGAGATTCTTCTTATAATAACTTTGGTAACAGAGTTGATGAATGTGATCAACACTGTACAGTGTGAGTAACAGAGAGAAAGGATTGAGATTATTTTCTTATCCTCCCATCAGGCAGCAGAAAACCCCCAGATGATGTCACTTCCTGTGTCTCAATTTTAAGAAATGCTCTTTTTGAAAATGAAGAAAATCATGTCAGAAGTAACAGGGTTGAGTCAAATGTATAGGACACAGATAATGCTCATAAAAATGGCTAATTTAAAACTAGTTAAAGCCGCGGTCACTCTTGACTTTAAGTATGTGAAATTTCTATGGACACTTTAAACTTAAAGGGATAGTTCACTTTGAAATTAAATTTTTATATGTTTTAGCTTACCTCAAGGTCATCCAAGATATAGGTGTCTTTGTTTCCGCATTCAGACTGATCTCATGAAGTAGCGTGTGTATGACACGCCAATTCGTATTTCCATTTTTGGCGTGCTATCAACACGCATAATCGTTATTACTGTATATATAAATATATGACTTACCTCAACCCCGTCCCTAAACCTAAACGTCACTGGGGTTAATGCCATTAATGACTGTTCCCTTACCATCCTAGGAAAGAAAAAGATAGCTCCCCAGATGTAGATGTACATTTTGCTTTGTTTTGCTTGGACATTTGACGGCGACATTGATAGCCTAAGACACGAAACGAGCGGTTTGTGTGAGAAAACGAACAGTATTTATATCGTTTCTACCTCTTGTAACCACAGCCATGTCCAAGTGATCTGAGGGCGCTTTGTGGCTGTCGTTACAAGAGGTAAAAACGGTATGTCCCCCTGAGACGAGAGATTTATGTATTTTTTGGCAATACTTCTATGACGCAAAAATCGTCATTTTTGTTTTGGCCAGAGGCTAAGCCATTAGTAGAAGCTAGATCCGCATGTTTTCAACCTGACCATAGAGGGTGCGATTTCACTCACAGAATGTAGGCAATAACCAGTGTCAGCCATGTTTTTTGTTTTAAAGCTAAGCTAACGGACTCTTGCTCCGTGGAGAAAGCTGAATAGTAGGGGTGACCATACGTCCTCTTTTTCCCGGACATGTCCGGCTCTTCCTCCCGACCGCCAAGCAGGTCTCGCTCCTCCTGCCACCTTCCGCTCCCCCACCATCCGTGCGACAGACAAGACTTCGAGAACGCCCAAAATGTCAGGGTCTCGGCTCTTATTTCAGTTGCAGCCCAGATAGACAAGTCTATTTGATGAGATGTTTACATCTGGAAGACGTATTTTTAAGAGTGTTTGCTCATCTGCAATACGTCTATAGAACGTGTCCTGTCAGATATCAAATAGACATTTAGAAGATGTCTCTAAGATGTAATGATTTAGAATGTATGTTAAACTGACATCTTCTAAACGTCTATTTGACATCTGACAGGAAACCCAGATAGACAAATCTATTTGATGTGATGTTTACATCTGGAAGACATATTTTAAAGAGAGTTTGCTCATCTGCAAGACGTCTATAGAACGTGTCCTGTCAGATATCAAATAGACATTTAGAAGATGTCAGTTTAACATGCATTCTAAATCATTACATCTTAAAGACATCTTCTAAACGTCTATTTGACATCTGACAGGGACGTCCTATAGACGTCTTGAAGATGAGCAAACACTCTTTAAAATACGTCTTCCAGATGTAAATATTACATCAAATAGACTTGTGCTATCTGGGAACATCCTATAGACCTACTGCAGATGAGCAAACACTCTTAAAAATACGTCTTCCAGATGTAAACATTACATCAAATAGACTTGTGCTATCTGGGAGTTCACTACGCCTACATTATTTGACACTGACTCGTATGTGCCAGCTTTGCAGGTCATGCATTCTGCTTCAAAATCGCACAAAACGCACATCAGCTGATCACTTATTTAGCGATCATGTAAACACTACATTCAGATTCCGATTGAAACATTGTAAACATAATGCATGGCAAAATCCGAATCCTGGACATCCCAAAATCTGGCAGACGAATCCAACGCTGGTCAGGAGGAAGAGCACTGGCAGACTCACGATAAAATGGCGTCTTTTAAATTTCGAAGTCAACTAGTAACCTATTTGAATCAATTCTTCCGGTACTGCCGTCTGTAACCGGTAGGTGTGGCTTTAGGAGTGGCCTCGTAGGACATGTCAATAATACAACATGACATCATGATTTTTGCGTAAACATACACGCCACTTTCGAGTCAAGTGGCGTGTTATCTCTACACATTTTGAGCTATCCGCGTGTACGTCTACGCCATTAACGTTTGCGTCATTCCACGTGTCTGTACACGCCGTCAAATGTCCAGTCATAAATGCCATTAACCCCAGTGACGGTTAAGTTTAGGGATGGGGTTGAGGTAAGTCATATCTTTTTTTTCCTATGGAAAGGGAACAGTCATAAATGCCATTAACCCCAGTGACGGTTAGGTTTAGGGACGGGGTTGAGGTAAGTCATATATTTCTATAACGTTAAGTCAACGGCGTTCACAAAAATGAAAATTGGCGTGTCATACACGCGCTACTTCATGAGATCAGTCTGCAAAAATACATTTCCTGGCTTTTCTCAATCTAGAAGGCACCAATTTCTTAAATAATTTCACACTTCTTACTAAATACATGATCCAATTTAAATACATATTCAATTTTGTTATTCACTTGATCTTGAGTTTCTGATGTCCCACATTCATATGCATATAAATGGAAGTCGGTGGAATAAAAAGTCTACTGTGAGCAGCCCTCAGTAATTAAAAAGCAAAATAAATTAAATATCCAAAAGTTGGTGTGAAAATATGAAAGTTTTTTTTTAATTTTGAATTAATTGAATAAAATCAATTTTTCTTTCATGTCAGACCTGATGGAAGAGAACGAGGAGAGTGAAGAACTGAGTGAAGTGGAGGACGAACATCATATTAAACCTGGAGAAAAACCTTTAAGTTGCTCAAAGACTAAAAAGACATTTTTAAAGAAGAGAAGAGCCAAGAAATCTTTCACCTGCACTCAGTGTGGAACAGGTCTCAAATCCAAACAAGGTCTTGAGTTTCACATGAGGATCCACACTGGAGAGAAACCACACACATGTGATCAATGTGAAAAGAGTTTCACAACCAAAAAAAGTCTTGAAATTCACACGAGAGTTCACACTGGAGAGAAACCACACACATGTGATCAGTGTGGAAAAAGTTTCAAAGAAAAATCTAGTCTTAAGATTCACATGAGAGTCCACACTGGAGAGAAGCCGTACACATGTGATCAGTGCGGGAAGAGTTGCACACAAAAAACACACCTGGAAAGTCACATGAAGATCCACACCGGAGAGAAGCCGTTCATGTGTGATCAGTGTGAAAAGAGATTCTCGCACAAACAAGGTCTTGATGTTCACATGAGAGTTCATACAGGAGAGAAACTGTTCGCATGTGATCAATGTGAAAAAAGGTTTAGATACAAATATAGTTTAAAGACTCACATGAGTGTTCACACCGGAGAGAAGCCGTTCATGTGTGATCAGTGTGAACAGAGATTCTCCAAAAAATCACGTCTCGATCAACACTTAAGAGTTCACACCGGAGTGAAGCCGTACGCATGCTATCAATGTGAGAAGAGTTACAATCAATCATCACACCTTAATGAACACATGAAGATCCACACCGGAGAGAAGCCGTTCTCATGCAGTAAGTGCGGGAAGAGGTTTATTAGCAAACACAATCTTGAGCTTCACATGAGAGTTCACACCGGAGAGAAGCCGTTCATGTGTGATCAGTGCGAGAAGAGATTCTCAAACAAACAAAGTCTTCAGATTCACATGAGGACCCACACTGGAGAGAGACCGTTCTCATGTGATCAGTGCGGGAAGGCTTTCATAATCAAAAAAAATCTTAAGCTACACATGAGAGTTCACACTGGAGAGAAGCCGTTCATGTGTGAACACTGTGAAAAGAGATTCTCAAACAAACAAAGTCTAAAGCTTCACATGATGATCCACACCGGAGAGAGGCCGTTCTCATGTGATCAATGCGGCAAAACATTTCTCAGGGCAACAGAGGTGAAGAAACACCAGACAGTTCATACGAAGGAGAAGCCGCATTCATGTTCTGTGTGTGGAAAGAGTTTTTCACAGCTGCAATATTTACAAGAACATCAGAAAATACACACTGGTGTGAGAGAGTACATGTGCTTTGAGTGTGAGAAGACTTTTACTAATGCAAGCAGTTTAAAACGGCACCAGAGGGTCCACACTGGAGAAAAACCTTACAAGTGTTCACACTGCGACAAGAGATTCAATCAGTCATCAACTCTGACAACACATGAGAAGATCCACACTGGAGAAAAACCTTACAAGTGTTCACAGTGTGACAAGAGATTCAGTGATTCATCTAGTCTGACATCACATAAGAGGATCCACACTGGAGAAAAACCTTACAAGTGTTCACACTGTGACAATAGATTCAGTCACTCATCATATCTGACAAAACATGAGAGGATCCACACTGGAGAAAAACCTTACAAGTGTTCACACTGTGATAAGAGATTCAATGATTCATCATATCTTAAAGCACATGAGAGGATCCACACTGGAGAAAAACCTTACAAGTGTTCACACTGTGACAAGAGATTTAATCTGTCATCAGCTCTGAAAAGACATGAGAGGATCCACAGCGGAGAAAAACCTTACATGTGTTTACACTGTGACAAGCTATTCAGTGACTTATCATCTCTGAAAACACATGAGAAGATCCACACTGGAGAAAAACCTTACAAGTGTTCACACTGCGACAAGAGATTCAGTCGGTCATCATTTCTGAAAAAACATGAGAAGATCCACAGCAGAGAGAAGCCGCACACGTGTGATCAGTGTGGACAGAGTTTCTCTATTAAAAGTCAGCTGAAGATACACATGAAGATCCACGTGTAACCATCCAACACTGTCTGAGATCACGGTAAGTAGTTCATCTTTTTGTGCTGAGCAACAAAAGTCTCTTCTTTTAAGTTAGTTTCCCAACAGCCACGATTAGAGAGAGCACATTTTGTTGGTTGATTTGGTATCTACTAATTCATGTTCAGACCAACACGAAAGTTCAGTCTGATTTTCACATGCAATTTGTCTGTTCAGACCAATGCTAATTCACCCTCACTGTAGGTGTCGCTCTTGGCACCTTCATGTCAAAGTAACTCTGATTAGAGTGTATAATATACTCACTTGATTTAATTTGTCTTTTAGACCTGATGGATGTGATCAAGAAAGAAAAAACAGAAGCCAAAAAAATCTGTCTCCTGCCCTAAATCAAGGCTGAAGATTCACATGAGGATCCACAGCGGAGCAAAACCTTACACATGTGATCAATGCAGGACTTGAAGAAGAAGAGGCCATAACATGAATTTAACTTGTTCTTAATTGTTTTTTTTTATAACATCTAGTTTCTCTTCAACTCTTCAATGCAAAATGTAGTTTTATACTTTCATGGATCATTTAAACTGGGCAGTTCTATGAGATGCTTTGCGTGTTAGCAAAGCATCATGTAAAATGGGAGAGGGATGATTTAATGTTAATAAAACCCCCAATTATTAATTTTATGTCTCAGAATGTGTTTCTTGTTTTTAATTTCACCACTGTTTAACCAACGTGTGCCTGATGTACTGAATCTGTGAAACACGAGTCTTGAGGGGATCGTGGAAGCAAATGTATTGGCAGAGACTTGTGCCTCAATTGGTAAAAGAATTAGCCAACCACCATTGATTGAGTATTACATTAACAACAATTAGTAGTATTGAGAAATGTAAAATGGCAGAGGAGGCTAGTCTCCCTTGGTATATCGACCAATCATTGTCGAGACGTAAATTATTTAACCTATTTGAACAGGATTTGTTTCCAGGTATGACTAAAAATGTGCTTTTGACTTTCATTTATATATTCATTTTATATATAGGCCAATATATATATATACAGAACTGTGCAAAAGTTTTAGGCAGGTTTGTAAAAATGCTGTAAAGTAAGAATACTTTCAAAAATAGACATGTTAATAGATTATATTTATCAATTAACTAAATGCAAAGTGAGTGAACAGAAGAAAAATCTAAATCAAATCCATATTTGGTGCGACAACCCTTTGCCTTCCGAACAGCATTAATTCTTCTAGGTACACTTGCACAAAGTCAGGGATTTTGTAGGCATATAGTCAGGTGTATGATTAAACAATTATACCTGTAAATTTCTGATAAAAACTTTAGTTCAGGAAATGTGCTACCAGGATGGTGTGTCCATTAAAACACAGGGGTCCAATACTCAGTCCATTATCATTTATTGAAAGGCCACAGGGTGAATTGGAATCAGATAGAGTTGTATGGTTTCTATAAACAAAAGAACAAACAGAATCTTAAATATAATTAACACCATAGAACTTCAACTAATAAATCCTTAATCACATAATACATTTCAGAATTTGACGAACAGAATCTCAAGAATTAACATAATAAAACAAAGCAAACAAACTTACATTGTCAGGAACACATAAACTCTTCAAAGGCTCTCATTAGGAGAGAAAGAAAGGACAATCTGTTTCCATTGCATGTGCCACACACCATCCCACCAAACAATAGTACCTTATCATTCATTAAGTGCACCTGAGGAGACTTAGCTCCTCCCATGATTGGCTATGTCATGTGATCCATAGGAATTCTCAACAATACCAAACATGTGCTAATGATCATCAATTCAATATGTAGGTTGAAACACAATCATTAACTGAAACAAACAGCTGTGTAGGAGGAATAAAACTGGGTGAGGAACAGCCAAACTCAGCTAACAAGGTGAGGTTGCTGAAGACAGTTTACTGTCAAAAGTCATACACCATGGCAAGGCTGAGCACAGCAACAAGACACAAGGTAGTTATACTGCATCAGCAAGGTGTCTCCGAGGCAAAAATTTCAAGGCAGACTGGGGTTTCCAGATGTGCTGTCCAAGCTCTTTTGAAGAAGCACAAAGAAACGGGCAACGTTGAGGACCGTAGACGCAGTGGTCGGCCAAGGAAATTTACTGCAGCAGATGAAAGACGCATCATGCTTACTTACCTTCACAAACTGAAGATGTCCAGCAGTGCCATCAGCTCAAAACTGGTAGAAAACAGTGGGACCCTGGTAGACCCATCTACAGTCCGGAGAAGTCTGGTCAGAAGTGGCCTTCGTGGAAGACTTGCAGCTAAAAAGCCATACCTCCGACGTGGAAACAAGGCCAAGTGACTCAACTTTGCACGAAAACACAGGAACTGGGGTGCAGGAAAATGGCAGCAGGTGCTCTGGACTGATGAGTCCAAATTTGAAATATTTGGCTGTCGCAGAAGGCAGTTTGTTCACCGAAGGGCTGGAGAGCGGTACACGTCTGCAGGCAACAGTGAAGCATGGTGGAGGTTCCTAGCAAGTTTGGGGCTGCATTTCTGCAAATGGAGTTGGGGATTTGGTCAGAATTAATGGTCTCCTCAATGCTGAGAAGTACAGGCAGATACTTATCCATCATGCAATATCATCAGGGAGGCATCTTATTGGCCCCATATTTATTCTGCAGCATGACAACAACCCCAAACATACAGCGAAAGTCTTTAAGAACGATCTTCAGCGTAAAGAAGAACAAGGAGTCAAGTAAGACTTGGAGGAGTCCAGGCGTCAAGGAGAACAAGTAAGCATGATAGGGCGGCAGTGGCTCAGTGGTACGTGTAGGTTGTCTACAAACCGAAAGGTTGGTTCAATCCCCGGTTCCACCTGACCAAGTGTCGAGGTGTCCATGAGCAAGACACCTAACCCCAGCTGCTCCCGACGAGCTGGATGGCACCTTGCATGGCTGACACCGCCGTCGGTGTATGAATGAGTGAGTGAATGGGTGAATGTGAGGCAAATGTAAAGCGCTTTGGTGGCCATTGGGTCTATGCTTTATAAATGCAGTCCATTTACCATTCAAGGAGTCCTGGAAGTGATGGTATGGCCCCCACAGAGCCCTGATCTCAACATCATCGAGTCTGTCTGGGATTACATGAAGAGAGAGAAGCAACTGAGGCTGCCTAAATCCACAGCAGAACTGTGGTTAGTTCTCCAAGATGTTTGAGCCAACCTACCTGCCGAGTTCCTTCAAAAACTGTGTGCAAGTGTACCTAGAACAATTGATGCTGTTTTGAAGGCAAAGGGTGGTCACACCAAATATTGATTTGATGTAGATTTTTCTTCTGTTCACTCACTTTGCATTTTGTTAATTGATAAATATAATCTATTAACATGTCTGTTTTTGAAAGCATTCTTACAGCATTTTTTCACACATGCCTAAAACTTTTGCACAGTACTGTATATATATATATACTGTATGTGTGTGTGTGTGTGTGTATATATATATATGACCGTACATTAATCTGACTAAAAATAGTGTGTTTACCAGTGATGCGCGGGTCAATGTATAAACAACCCGACCGACGTTTTCAACTAACCCGCTCGCAACTCGGGCCGCAAAAAAAGAAAGAAAATATTGTAACCGACCGGCTTCCTGATCCGCATTTTTTTAAAGTAGTGAATGCTCATTGTAGCGTCATTGGGCCATATACGTGTAACACAAATGTGAAAATAGCATCGCAAGAAGTACACATAACAAAGCCAGCACCTTGGTCATCATCTTTCATTATTTCCCGACACTTTGATCTTTGTATTTGTGTAGCTATTAGCGGAGCTTCTACTCCCCAGTCTTCACCTTTTCTCTTGCCGCCTCCATCTCTCCCTGCAGACTGTAGTGATGGCCGGTTCGTGAACGAATCGTTCTTTTGAACCGGTTCTTTTTAGTGAACCGGTGTAACCGGACTGAATCGTTCGAAACAGTTTGCATCTTGCGTCAGTGCTTAATCCACAAGTTACTAAAGTTACTCACTTTCAGACCAATATCCCGGAGTATATTTTACTCCAGTAACTCCAACAGTTCACTAAACTGAGACATGTTGGTGCCACTGCTGAGAGAAGTGATAAGCACGAGCAGCTGATACTGCGCATCCGCGTAGTACCGAATGCACAGGTACAGCGGTTCTCGAATCACCAGTACAGAACCAAGACTGAGCTCATGCGTCATCTTCGTGCCAGTTACTCAGCCAAATAAAGTGTAGGCCTATGTATTTCATAGAAAATTGTGTATAGTACTATATACAAAGGTTTAATTGGCATCTTTATTTCAAACGACCCGACCGACCGGGATCCGAATATCATTAAAAATATTTTTGGATGACTCGAAACTGCGGATAACCGCGGGTGACCGCAGGCTCCCGCTCATCACTGGTGTTTACCAAGTTTATGTGGGCGTTTACATGTCTCATTGTGTTTCTTCAGATCATTTGAATTTTAAATGAGCACTCTCTTCCGTGGGCGTGTCACATTAGGAAAATAATGAGCTATGAGAACGATAATAAGAATGGCTGAGATCTCACATAAACAGAGAATACTTATTTTAGTTTTAAAAAAGATGATTTAAAAGTACAAACTTAAATGATTATAAACATTGCTCTTGCCTGAGTGAATAGCATTCGCTGAGGGCGGAGACGGAGAAGCAGAACGCACAACCATGTTTATTTTCTTTATTTTACAAAAGCACAATATTTTATTTTGACTGTAGGTGGGCACATAAAAAGTAGACATTTAACAGTTTATTTGACATATTTCTTAAAGGGATAGTTCACTTTGAAATTAATTTTTGATATGTTTTATCTTAGCTAAAGGGCATCCAAGATGTAGGTGTCTTTATTTCCACAGTATTTTCAATTTTGATATTTTTCGGTCAAACCGGTGTTGTCTGTCAGTCATATAATGGAGGTTTATGGGGTCCCCCTCAAATAGCATGCACAGAGAAATCAAATTTAAACATGATCTAATGACTCGTAAATGTAAGTACACATTGATGGCCTAAGACACGAAACAAGCGGTTTGTGTGAGTATTTATATCGTTTTTACCTCTTGTAACCACAGCCACGTCCAAGTGATCTGAGGACGCGGGCGCTTCGGTCTGCGTAAGCGCCGGCAAAAACCCGAATATGCTCATATCCCGGATTTTAAAAACAAGGGATATTATACCTGGGGTACCCCTTTTCTAACCCGAATTTTTGGTCATGTAAACGTGTGTCGGCATTTCCCCATAGTGATTTGTGTTCTTCTGCGCATGTTCTATTCGCAAGGAATCTTGGTCTTTTGAGTAGAGAAACTTCTCGGCGCATACAAAAATACCGGAAGTAAACATGGCGAGACGCAGCACAGCATACTTTTGGAGCGAGGTCAGTAACGTTACCAGCATCAAAGTGCAAACAAAGGCGATCGCTATCTGCCCCGAACTATTCATCATCCGCGTGCTGCTGTTGTTGCTGTCTTTGGATAATGGAAGAAGAATCGGAAATGATGCATATTGCGTCTTAAGGTTATCCGTACGTCCAGACGCTAACCACCGTTGTCACCGTTTACATCGGGATATTGCAATTACATGTTTACAGGAGAAACTCTCTCTGCTCACACATGTAAACGGGTTATACCTAATGTTTCAGAAACCCCGAATAGTGACCTTAACCCAATCATAACCCGAAAATTGGCTGCATGTAAACGTAGTCAATGAGTGACGTACAAGCGGAAGAGATCACTTCCGGCGCTTGCGCAAACCGAAGCGCCCTCACTCTCAGAATCACTTAGACGTGACTGTGGTTACAAGAGTTAAAAATGACATAAATACGTTTCGTTCGTTTTCTCAAACAAACCGCTCGTTTCGTGTCTCAAGCCTGTTTTATGCTTCTGCGTCGAATCGACAGCATACCCCCGCAGACCTCTCTGCGTCGATGCAAACCCCTCTCTGACCCCTCCGCCGTAGCTCGACGTGCACCTCCAAAAATTTGTAACTACGCGTCGAGGCGACGCAGACAGCAAGATCTGTGATTGGTCAGATTATACATCATTTCAGGAGTGTAGCTTTTCCGGTTTCCCCCTCCCGCTATAGCGCCATTTTTAACATTTGCACCCTCGTACTGATAATTATAATACTCTTATAAAGAAAGTAAATAAAGAATGAAACTAAAAAATAAACTTGTTGTTTTTATTTCATTGTTAATATATATGTCTATCCTCTTTTCTTTCTTTTTTGCTCACAATAAACTTCAATCAATCAATAAATCAGCGTTTATTTTGAAATACAGTTTGTTGATTATTTTCAATACAACGTTCACAGTTACATCATTGATAACACACATACAGTACTAACCAAGTCTGCCACGGGACACTACATTATCCTGCCATTGCACAGTTCCATGTGGAGACTGAAAAAAGCCTTCAAGTCATTCCGAACAGATATGGCAGCTCAGGTGGAACGGGCCCTGGACATCCGTGTTGGTTCTATGGGGACAAAGTTTGTGTCGTCTTGTTGAACGTCGATTAGCTCCAGCTGGAACAACATTCTCTCACTTTCACTCGTGGCGCACGGAACCAAAACGAACTAGCAAAGAGATTCTTTGAGGTGGACCCCATAGAGACGGTTAATAGGCGGTCAGCACGTGTCTTTAGAGGGCGAAGCAAATAGTCTGCTGTGGATCCTCTCATGTTTTTTCAGATATGATGACTCACTGAATCTCTTGTCACACTGTGAACACTTGTAAGGTTTTTCTCCAGTGTGGATCATCTCATGTTTTTTCAGATTTGATGACTCACTGAATCTCTTGTTACAGTGTGAACACTTGTAAGGTTTTTCTCCAGTGTGGATCTTCTCATGTTTTTTCAGATTTGATGACTGACTGAACCTCTTGTCACAGTGTGAACACTTGTAAGGTTTTTCTCCAGTGTGGATCCTCTCATGTGTTTTCAGATATGATGACTCATTGAATCTCTTGTCACAGTGTGAACACTTGTAAGGTTTTTCTCCAGTGTGGATCCTCTCATGTGTTTTCAGAGTTGCTGACAGAATGAATCTCTTGTCACAGTGTGAACACTTGTAAGGTTTTTCTCCAGTGTGGATCTTCTCATGTTTTTTCAGAGATGTCGACTGACTGAATTGCTTGTCACAGTGTGAACACTTGTAAGGTTTTTCTCCAGTGTGGATCCTCTCATGTGTTTTCAGATCTGATGACTCACTGAATCTCTTGTCGCAGTGTGAACACTTGTAAGGTTTTTCTCCAGTGTGGATCTTCTCATGTTTTTTCAGAGATGTCGACTGACTGAATTGCTTGTCACAGTGTGAACACTTGTAAGGTTTTTCTCCAGTGTGCATCTTCTCATGCTTTTTCAGATTTGCTGACGTACTGAATCTCTTGTCACAGTGTGAACACTTGTAAGGTTTTTCCCCAGTGTGGATCCTCTCGTGTGTTTTTAGAGATGATAACTTACTGAATCTCTTGTCGCAGTGTGAACACTTGTAAGGTTTTTCTCCAGTGTGGATCATCTGGTGCCGTTTTAAATCCTTTGCTGCAGTAAAAGTCTTCTCACACTCAAAGCACATGTACTCTCTCACACGAGTGTGAGTTTTCTCATGTTTATGTAAATATTGCAGCCATTTAAACCTTTTTCCACACACAGAACATGAATGCGGCTTCTCCTTCGTATGAACTGGCAGGTGTTTCTTCAGGTTTGATGCCCAGATAAATGTCTTTCCACACTGATCACATGTGAACGGCTTCTCTCCAGTGTGGATCATCATGTGCATTTTGAGATTTCGTTTGGTTTTTAAACTCTTTCCACACTGAGTGCAGGTGAAAGATTTCTTGGCTCTTCTTTTCTTTGAAAATGTATTTTTAGTCTTTGAGAAACTCACACGGTTTTCTCCAGGTTGGACATGATGTTCCTCCTTCACTTCTCTCAGTTCTTCTCTCTCCTCCTTCACTTCACTCAGTTCTTCTCTCTCCTCCTTCACTTCTCTCAGTTCTTCTCTCTCCTCCTTCACTTCTCTCAGTTCTTCTCTTTCCTCCTTCACTTCACTCAGTTCTTCTCTCTCCTCCTTCACTTCCATCAGTTCTTCTCTCTCCTCCTTCACTTCTCGCAGTTCTTCTCTCTCCTCCTTCACTTCCATGGGGTCTGTCATGAAAGAAAAACTCATTTTGAATTTTTCTAAATAATAAAAATGATCCCAGAAACAGACAACTGCAATAAAATAATACAACAATTTATGTATTTCTATAAATGAATTATACATCCCTGAAACTTTCCATGAAGTACACTGATCTTCCAGTTATTGTTTTTAGACAGCATAGGCACAAATCCCATGTTTCTGTAGTGAGAACTATTAAATATGTTGGCTCAATGACGCAATTGTGATGCAATCTGGGAAAACCCGTCGGATGTCGCGCTTGAAAATTTTCAGTAATGTCTAAAAATAGATTGAAGGTCAGTTTATTGTCAAATTACAGAAATAAATTAAAAACAGAATGAAGGTCCCGCCAGTCCTGTGTAAACTACAATAGCACACAAGTTTTTACTTATTTGTTTTTATCCAGCGTTATTTTGTGGTGTGATGCGGAGCACAAGAGAACACACTTGCTCACCTCCTAACCCAGACAGCAAACTGACATTGAATCAACGTGGAAATGACGTCTCTCATGACATCGAAACAACGTTGATTTTGCTCATCGAATTAACGTTGAACCAACGTCGGACTCGGCATTCTTCAAAGCTAAATGAAAATCGAAAATTGGTTTGCTTTCATAACGTTGAAACAACGTTGATTTCAAGTTGATTTTCTGTTAGTTTTGAAGAATGACGCGTCTGACGTTGGTTCAACGTTAATTCGATGAGCAAAACAATGTCAAAACAACGTTGATTCGATGTCATGTTTCCACGTTGATTCAATGTCAGTTTGCTATCTGGGAATCGTCCAATTTCAAAACGGTCTTCACAGGATGAATTTTGAGTTTGTAAGCTTTCGAATGATACCTAACCTACGATGATTACTAAAATACAGTGGGTACGGAAAGTATTCAGACCCCCTTAAATTTTTCACTCTTTGTTATTTTGCAGCCATTTGCTAAAATCATTTAAGTTAGTTTTTTCCCCTAATTATTGTACACACAGCATCCCATGTTGACAGAAAAACACAGAATTGTTGACATTTTTGCACATTAATTAAAAAAGTAAAAATGAAATATCGCATGGTCCTAAGGCTATGTTTACACGGAAACGATTCGCAAGAGAAAACGCAAAAGTGGCGTTTAGACGAGCGTTTTGTGTGGGAAATCCGCGTGCAAATGGTGACGCAAAAGTGTGTGAAATTCAATGTAGTATGCACTTCAGGTGGCTAGGAGTGCATACTACAACAACACCAAGTCCACGCGTCTGCGTAGAACCTTCACTGTGTTTTTACCGTTTACACAGGAACGCGGCAGTGGAGCGTTTTTAAGATTTCCACTCTGGAGGGTGGTTTCACTTTTTTGCGTTTTTAAGCCCCAAAAACGCTGTCGCCATGTAAACGAAAGGCACATCCGATAAAATATTTTTACGCTTTCACCCGCGAGCGCTCTCGTGTAAACAGGGCCTACGTATTCAGACCCTTTGCTGTGACACCTTTATATTTAACTCAGGTGCTGTCTATTTCTTCTGATCATCCTAGAGATGGTTCTACACCTTCCTTTGAGTCCAGCTGTGTTTGATTAAACTGATTGGACTTGATTAGGAAAACCACACACCTGTCTATATAAGACCTTACAGCTCACAGTGCATGTCAGAGCAAATGAGAATCATGAGGTCAAAGGAACTGCCTGAAGAGCTCAGAGACAGAATTGTGGCAAGGCACAGATCTGGCCAAGGTTACAAAAAAAAGGTCTGCTGCACTTAAGGTTCCTAAGAGCACATTGGCCTCCATAAACCTTCAATGGAACACGTTTGGGATGACCAGAACCCTTCCTAGAGCTGGCCGTCCTGCCAAACTGAGCTATCGGGGGAGAAGAGCCTTGGTAAGAGAGGTAAAGAAGAACCCAAAGACCACTGTGGCTGAGCTCCAGAGATGCAGTCGGGAGACGGGAGAAAGTTGTAGTAAGTCAACCATCACTGCAGCAATCCACCAGTCTGGGCTTTATGGCAGAGTGGCCCGACGGAAGCCTCTCCTCAGTCAAAGTTTGCTAAAAAGAAAACACCTGAAGGACTCCAAGATGGTGATAAATAAGATCCTCTGGTCTAATGAGACCAAGATAGAACTTTTTGGCTTTAATTCTAAGCGATATGTGTGGAGAAAACCAGGCACTGCTCATCACCTGTCCAATACCATTTCAGCAGTGAAGCATGGTGGTGGCAGCATCATGATGTGGGGGTGTTTTTCAGCTGCAGGGACAGGACGATTGGTTGCAATCGAGGGAAAGATGAATGCGGCCAAGTACAGGGATATCCTGGACAAAAACCTTTTCCAGAGTGCTCTGGCCGAAGGTTCACCTTTCAACAAGACAATGACCCGAAGCACACAGCTAAAATAACAAAAGGAGTGGCTTCACAACAACTCCGTGGCTGTTCTTGAATGGCCTAGCCAGAGCCCTGACTTAAACCCAATTGAGCATCTCTGGAGAGACCTGGGGCCTGTACCATGTTCCATGATGCTGAACATCAACTTTCTCTGTCAACTCAGGCTTTGATCATGAGTTTAGGTGTGACATCAGTAGCGAAGAGCCAATCACATGCTGAGAAAGAGTGAAACTCATTCAAAACTCATTGAAATAAATTTCTCACGAGAGAAGCAGCACAATTCTCTTACGAAATAAATGTATTAATATAGCTGCGAGCAGCGATTGCGGGCCCAAGCCGGTGGCACCGCAAGCTTTGGCCCTTCATCACTGCTCGATATATATATATATATAAAGCCGGTGGCACCGCCACCATGGTGCCTTTAGGGTTATTCTGCACGATGTGCAAAAACTTAACCCCCTGCTTTACTGTGGTGATGAACACTGCTAAAAGCCAAACCACTTTCATGGTGCCTTAAACCCAGGGTTGGCATAAACTAAACTGAAACAAAGTTGGCTAGCCACCTATACCGGCTTCATGGTATAGGCCCCTGAAAATGGCTGTCCACCAATGTTTACCATCCAACCTGACAGAATTGGAGAGGATCTGCAAGGAGGAATGGCAGAGGATACCCAAATCCAGATGTGAAAAATTTGTTGCATCTTTCCCAAAAAGACTCTTGGTTGTATTAGATCAAAAGGGTGCTTCTACAAATACTGAGCAAAGGGTCTGAATACTTAGGACCATGTGATATTGCAGTCTTTCTGTTTTAATAAATGTATACAGATACTATAGCACTACAAAGCAAAAAGGCAGTAACTACGCAGAACTGAGAAAAATGACTATAACTCGGGCTTTTTACAGTTACTGTACAAACGACTACCATTTTTCTCCAAAACGACACACATTTGAGATAATATGTTTTGTCACACAACAAAGGATGCCTCGAATGTCATGAAAATGGTAATAACAAATGTTTGACCAAAAATGCAGTTACTGCCTTTTTGCTTTGTAGGGCAGTATATTGCCACCAACCCCTGCCATCTCCGGCCCACCCCTAGGGCACATATATGTTTCAGTCTTTAAATCATAAAAAAAGGTTTTATAAACAGACAAACTCACATATTTCAGCCTTTAATTTTCACAAAAAAAGGGTTTTATAAAAAGATCAACCACCCATATTTCGGACTTTTAAAGGATTAGTTCACTTTTGAAAAAACTTTTGCTGATAATTTACTCACCCCCATGTCATCCAAGATGTCCATGTCTTTCTTTCCTCAGTCAAAAAGAAATTTAGGTTTTTGATGAAAACATTCCAGGATTTTTCTCCATATAATGGACTTCAATGGGAACCGGATGGTTCAAGTATCAAAAGACGGTTAATAACTGTTTCAGATGCAGCTTCAAATGTCTTTAAACGACACCAGACGATGAATAAGGGTCTTATCATGCGAAACGATCGGTTATTTCAAAACTTATTCCAAAAATGTAACTTTTATAAGGACAAATGCTAGCCTTGCTATATTCTCTGAGGCGTGTTTGTAACGTCACGTAATACGTAATTACGTTCAAAAGGTCACGGGCAACGTAGCCGGAAGTACAGAATCAAAATCGTCCGACATCGCTGTTTTACCCTTTAATTCCTTTTTTGTAAACGGTGTTTGAGTTAGTTTTCACGTTCAACCTATGCGTTCCACTTGTAAACACTCTGACTCTGTACTTCTGGCTACGTCGCCCGTGACCTTTTGAACGTAATTACGTGACGTTGCAAACGCGCCTCACAGAATGGAGAAAGGCTAGCATTTGTCCTTAGAAAAGTTACATTTTTGGAATAAGCATTGAAATAACCGATCGTTTCGCATGATAAGACCCTTATTCATCGTCTGGTGTCGTTTAAAGACATTTGAAGCTGCATCTGAAACTGTTATTAACACTATCTTTTGGACCTGAACCATCCGGTTCCCATTGAAGTCCATTATATGGATGTTATGACTGACTCCAGGCCATAACAATCAATGGGAGACCATGCCATAAACAAATTGTGCCAAACATAAATTTATTGTGTATCGAACGCAAATACAAACAACGTAATTAATCATGGGATATGAATGTCAGCATCAGCAGTGTAAAGTAAGTGCTGGGATGTGTTGTAGGTGTGTATGTGTGCAGATGTTGGATGTAAAAATAAAAGACATCAACTCAGATAAACTTAAAGGTGCATCTCTGTGAAATCCTGGCGTATCGAGCGAGGTCTAAGCCTGAAGCAGCTAGCCGAGCAGCGTCGGAGTCTTCAGCCACCAGATCAGGAAAAAGCCAGCCATACAGCGGAGAAGCTCCCATTTAAAGCACCATCTTCCCAGGTGTTAGCAATTAAGCCTGAAAGAGAGGAGGAGCAGGGGAACGACCAAAAACAGGCCAAAGGCCGTAACACCCCCTCTAACAAAACAGGGACCCCTAGGGTTTCCCTTGAGCTGCAGGTATCCCAAAACAGAAAGTTTGTAACCTTTTTTAAGAAGGCACATCTTACCTAACCACTTGGAGCCCGGGACAAAGCGTCTGCCACCACATTGTCCCGCCCCTTGATATGCCGAATGTCCAAAGTGTAGGACTGGAGGTGAAGAGCCCAGCGCATCAGCCGTTGGTTAGGAGTCTGTAGAGTGCTAAGGAAAGTTAGAGGATTATGATCGGAAAAAACTACCACCGGACCAGAGCCCAGATACACACTAAAATGCTGCAACGCCAAAATAAGCGCCAGTGTTTCCTTTTCAATGACTGAATAGTTTAGCTGATGGCGATTAAATTTCCTGGAAAAGAAACACACAGGCTTATCAACCCCTCCATCATCTCTCTGCAGCAATACTGCCCCAGCCCCAACCATGCTAGCATCCACCTCTAGGTGAAACTCACGATCCCACCTAGGAGCAACTAGAACTGGAGCATTGGAAATTAGAGCTTTCACCCTCTCAAAGGACTGTTGGCATACCGGAGACCACACATACTTTGTCTTCCCTTTTAGAAGATCAGTTAATGGTGCGACCACTGTAGAGAAATTCCTACAAAAACATCTATAGTAGCCCACCATTCCGAGAAATCTCATGAGTTCCCTTTTTGTAGTTGGTGACGGAATGTCATCAATTGCACACACTTTAGCACGCACCGGTCTCACCGAACCCTGGCCAACCACACGACCCAAGTAGACCACCGTGGCTCTAGCGAATTCACACTTTGCCAGATTCACTGTTAAACCTGCATGAGCCAGACGCACAAACAATGCTTTAACACGCTCCAAGTGTTGTTCCCAGTTGTCAGCATACACCACCACGTCATCCAAATACACTGCGCATCCGTCCAGATCCCGCACCACCAAATTCATTAGGCGCTGGAAAGTTGCTGGGGCATTTCGTAGGCCAAAAGCCATAACGTTATAGGAGTACAGCCCCCCGGGTGTAATAAAAGAAGCAATCTCCCTGGCCCTGTCTGTCAATGGCACCTGCCAGTAACCTTTAAGTAAATCCAGCTTAGTCACAAACTTCGCCCCCCCCACTTGATCAACACAATCCTCCATACGAGGAAGAGGGAAGGAGTCAGGCTTAGTAACTGCATTCACTTTACGAAAATCTGTACAGAACCGAAATGTATTGTCTGACTTTGGTACCAAGAGACATGGTGAGGCCCAACTAGAGTCAGAGGGAACTGCTATCTTATTATGAACCATGTACTTGATCTCAGCCTCCAGGTTTTTACGCTTCTCTGGGTGAACACGATAGAATCTTTGCCTAATTGGCTTCGCATTTTCCACGTCTATATCATGTTTTAATAAAGTCGTACGTGATGGCGTGTCTCCAAATAGACAAGGAAAACTTCTAATCAGCTTAACTAGCTGTACCCGCTGACAAGACTCTAGATGACCCAAAACGCTTTCTAATTTGTCCAAAGCTTCCATATTTTTCAGCCGTCCAGACACCATACCCTCATCAGGCCCTGACAGATCCTCCCCCTCTACCACAACAGAGGACGATGGCATAGCCAAACAGACAGGATGAGCTTTGGACAACCTTAACGCCCTCTCACTTCCAGATGACTCACGGGAAATATAAGGCTTCAAAAGATTAACATGGCAAAGCCTGGCCTTTTTTCTCTGATTTGGAGTCGAGATTAAATAGTTTTGATCAGAAAGCTTCTTTAATACAGAGAATGGTCCAGAAAATTTGGCTTGCCACGGAGAAGTAATTACAGGCAAAAGCGCCAAAACCTGGTCACCTGGGAGAAATTCTCTGTACTCAGTCTGACGATCATAGCGTTTCTTCATTTTAGTTTGTGCCCTGGCCAAATTCTCCCTGGCCACTTCCTGAGACATATAAAGCCTGTACCTAAATCCATTCACAAAGTCCAGTAGATTACTTGGAGGCTGAGCCTCCTTCCAAGTGTCCTGCAACAGAGCCAGAGGACCCCGCACTTTATGACCAAAAATCAGATCATTAGGACTAAACCCTGTACTTTCTTGAATTACCTCTCTAGCAGCCAACAACATCCACGGTAAAGCCTCTTCCCAATCACCCTGCATCTGAACACACAATGAGCGCAACATAGACTTAAGTGTTTGGTGAAAGCGCTCCAAAACACCCTGGCTTTGAGCATGATAGGCAGATGAAAAATTATGAACTATGTTCAACTGTTCCAACACTTGAGCAAATAATTTTGAACAAAAATTTGACCCTTGATCTGACTGAATGATCCGTGGAACTCCAAAAATAGAAATAAATTGGGACAATGCACGAACCACAGACTTGGCTGTTATACTCCTCAATGGGTAGGCGGCAGGGTACCTAGTACTTTGACACATCACTGTCAACAAATACCTGGAACCTGATTTTGATGGTGGTAATGGACCAACACAGTCAATAAGAAGATGTTCAAATGGCTGACTGATAGCTGGTATTGGACAGAGTGGAACGGGCCTCAAAATCTGGTTAGGCTTACTTGTCAACTGACAAGTGTGACATGACTTGATGTACGCGGAGACATCCTTTTTCAACCGAGGCCAAAAAAAATACAGCAGAACTCGGTCATATGTCTTCCTGACACCCATATGTCCAGACTGGTCATGGGAAATCTGCAACACAGTGTTCCTATACTTTAAAGGAACAACCACTTGGTAAATGGGATTACCAACAAAACCCTCAAACTGAGGCGTCCATTTCCTCATCAAGACATTATTATGTAAAAAATAGCAATGAGAATGACTTCCGACCTCTGCAGGAGAACACAACCCATCCATACAAGGCTTCAAAGTGCCGTCAGCTTCCTGCTCATGCAATAGCTCATCATGAGAAACAGACCAGGGAACAACAGGTAAGAGTAAGCGAGGACCAGAGGCCACAACTTCAGATTGATCACCGTCCACATGCTTTGACCGAGTTACTGCGCAGGCACTAAACACATCAGGAAAGTGTACCTCACTCTCATCAGGCTTACTGCACTCCAGAGGAGTCACCGTCACCCTGGCAGGCGGAGATACGTCAGCCCATACTTTATCACCGGCGATGTCATTACCCAGGATCATAGCGACACCATCCACAGGTAATGCTGGACGCACACCAACAGACACCTCGCCCTGGAAGAGATTACAATGCAGCATCATTTTGTGTTGTGGTACATTCAAAACATTTAACCCCATTCCAACAACAGGGATGCTTGAGCCCACAAAGGTGTCATTTGAAAATGGCAATGTTGCAGCTACAATAAATGAGTCAAACGCCCCAGTATCACGTAAAATCTTTATGCGCACCTGCTCTTTACTTCCCTTTAAAGACACAAAACCTTCCGTAATAAAAGGCAAATAAGATTTCAACTCCAGATTGCCTTCAGTGACTCCACCTACCTCCTGGCCAGCAACAGACACAGCACACATAGCTGGATTAGCTTTAGGAAAAGCTTGCTGTGGACGAGATTTAAGAGCATAACAATCATTTTTCCAGTGACCTCGCTTATGACAGTAATTACAGATTTTTTCTGAATCCCCTGAAACACCACTCCTATCCACAAACTGCCTACTTGCCCTTGCTTCATGAGGACCAGCGCCACCTCTTGAAGAATGAATCAAAAAATAATCGTCAGCCAGAGCAGCAGCTTCACCAATCGACTTAACTCCACGCTCACTAATATACGTAGCGATACACTCTGACACAGAGTCTTTAAACTGCTCCAAAATAACTAACTCACGGAGTTTTTCAAAGGAGTCAACCCCGGCCGCTGAGCACCAACAGTCAAAATGCATAGTTAAATCACGCATAAACTCTAGGTGTGACTTATCGCCACGTCTCCAACCTCGAAAGCGTAGTCGGTACGCCTCCGGCACAAGTTCATACGTTTTTAAAACAGCATTTTTTACCACAGAGTATTTAACACAATCGGTACTGCTCAATGCTGAAAATGCCTGCTGTGCTTTTCCGGTTAATACACATTGTAACATTAACATACGCGTGGAATCAGACCAACTTCGAACCTCTGCCAGACGTTCAAATAAGGAAAAAAATGTCTCTGGGTCCTCCTCATTAAACCTGGGAACAAATCTCAGATCACTCAGGTCATCCTGTTTAATGTTTACCTGTGCCGCACCCTCAAGCTTACCTTCTCTAATCAGCGCCAGTCTTTGTCTCTCCACATCTAACTTTTCCCGCTCCAAATCCTGCCTCATTGTTTCCATCGCCTGCTCTTTCTCGTGTTCAGCTTTAATACGCAACAAAAGCAACTCTTTCTGCTGCTCAAATGATAAGCCCACCGGGTTAGCTCCTCCCAACAGAGAAGTGTCAACTTTACCTTTCAACAAGACCCCCTTTTCCAACAATTTTGCTGCCAAATTACCTTTAACATGATCCTTTGTCTTTCGGGCATCCCCTATATCAACCTTATAATACTCCGCAATTCTAATTAATTGTTTCTTAGTACAAATATCTAATCCCCGTTCATGTGGCGATTCAATAAAATCCTCCACCACTTCATCCATGGCTAACAAATCCACTAGAGACAAAGCTTAAATGACAAATTTATCAGCACAACCCAAGGACGGCGTTTTCCCGCTAACTACCTATCACAGAAGCTAACTTACTGACCCTAGTCTTCGTGAGGCGTAGCGGTGGGTTTTTATGCATTCATATCCCGATGGTCAGACAAAGGTGACCAGCAAGCTGGCAACCCCGCTGAAACCACGGAAATGCTCCCGAGCCGATGTAGGGAAAAGGAACATGGGAAGCTCTACCCGCCGTACCTCCACTCTAAAACAATAATGCAGCGAACCCCCTATTGGGAAACGCTGCTATGCCTACAAGGAAAAACGCCAGCCCAAAACTTAGTTGTGCTTTAACAAACTGTCACTTACCTTCACGCATCTCCAGAAAAAAAACAGCCACTACTGCTGAAAACACACGCCCAAACACTTCCGCTCGAATACGCCAGCAAACAAATTAGAACTAATCAAATTCAGGCACGTCTCCCAGAGCGCAATAACCATATAAGGGCACTGACGTCACGGGATCCCCCCTTTAACCGCCAATCAAGATGAAGCTACTACGAGCTACACTCACTCTCGTGTGCCCTTAAACGCTCATACACATATTACTAAATCAAATTTTACGCACTACGCAAAATAAAAAACGGACGAGCCCCCATTTGTTATGACTGACTCCAGGCCATAACAATCAATGGAAGACCATGCCATAAACAAATTGTGCCAAACATAAATTTATTGTGTATCGAACGCAAATACAAACAACGTAATTAATCATGGGATATGAATGTCAGCATCAGCAGTGTAAAGTAAGTGCTGGGATGTGTTGTAGGTGTGTATGTGTGCAGATGTTGGATGTAAAAATAAAAGACATCAACTCAGATAAACTTAAAGGTGCATCTCTGTGAAATCCTGGCGTATCGAGCGAGGTCTAAGCCTGAAGCAGCTAGCCGAGCAGCGTCGGAGTCTTCAGCCACCAGATCAGGAAAAAGCCAGCCATACAGCGGAGAAGCTCCCATTTAAAGCACCATCTTCCCAGGTGTTAGCAATTAAGCCTGAAAGAGAGGAGGAGCAGGGGAACGACCAAAAACAGGCCAAAGGCCGTAACAATGGAGAAAAATCCTGAAATGTTTTCATCAAAAACCTTAATTTCTTTTTGACTGAGGAAAGAAAGACATGGACTTGGATGACATGGGGGTGAGTAAATTATCAGCAAAAGCTTTTTCAAAAGTGAACTAATCCTTTAATCATTTTTGTTAAAAGAATGAGTAAAAAAAAACTTGATTACATTAATGCACATTAGCAATAGTAAAATTCTGTCTGATTTCCCATGGTGTCTGACATTGCTAAGCATCCATGCACTGCGCTCTCCACAACGACAAAGTAGTTTTAGGAGCTAAATGATTTTCACCACTAAAAAATGCTTTCTGTAGCTCTACCACAATATTTATTTTGTAGTTTTTCAGCGCACCCCTATCCTTTATGTTTACTGAGCTTTCAACGGTGGTTGGTTCTTGTGACATGAAATGTGGCGCACTTGCGGCATTCTGAAAAGTTGAAGAGTTGAGCCAGAAAAAAATGCTTCAATTATGAGCGGGCTACATTTGAAATAGCGAACTTGAGAGCGCAAAAGACACAATATGTGAACGGTCCTACAGCGTTTATTTAGTCTCAAAACTCGCGCACAAGATATGAGGACAAAAAACATTATACACGCGCCGAATGCCATCCACGTTTCTGCACAGTGAGCGCGCAAGATAATATCCTCGCGCAGCCACTTGACGAGCTACCTCCAATCAGGCCACAAGTGGAAGAAACAATAGTGGTTCACGCTTGTGCGCATACTGCTGTTTTGGCGCGCAGTTTTCTGATTTGCTTATTTCCTATTTACTTGTTTGGTGGAGGCAATCCAGAATTACTGTTGGTGAAATAATAAATCAGACACCCCCCACCCCTAAAAAAAATCTCTTCGGATTTGCACGATTCACACAAGTCACCCAAACTGACGTGAAAAAAGTGTAAGGTGCCGAATAGCGCGTTTGTTTGCATCCCTGTATGTCAAAAACTACAAAAACCTTCTAATTAAGGGCAATTCACACTGAACTAGGCTACGTCTTCCATGGACTTCACATCAACAAAGTTCTGGTAAATGGTTACAAATTGTAAACCATACATCAAATAAATGTCAAATAAAACAGTTCAAATATTTAGTTTGACCTGATGTTGATTATATGAAACCTCCCTTTACTGACCATTTGTCTAAAAAAAACCCTTGAACTGTTCATCTAAATGCTTGAATGTTTGTAACATGAATGTTCTTCAGCATCATGAATGAATGAAGAATAAACACCAACCTCTTTGTTCTTCAGGATCTTCAGTGTGTTTCATTCTGCAGGGTTCTGGATCACTCATGTTCTCACGGTCCTCTTTAATAAACTCAGTCTTTGCAGATTTCAGCTCTTCCTGATGCTTTCATGCTTGTCTTCACTTGTAGCTGATGGCAAATATTCCAGCATTTATAGGTAAACTGATAATTTATATCTAGCATGTATTGGGGATAATTACAGTGCCTCCCACTGATGATGCAATTGCAGTGGGAGGAGCAAATGTAAAAAGGATACTGAAACTGTCTTACATATTTTCTTTGAAGTCTTTCTGGATTGATGTGCAATATTTATTTAATATGTTGCATTGAGAAAAAGGATTTTTTATTATGAACAAAAAAAGATATAGACAAGAGTCACAGTTTAATGTTAAATTTGATCTTATTACTTGGTAAGTTTTACATAAATAAATGTAAATGTTCTTAAAGGATACCCAACATCTACCATTTTAAAGCTGACATAGGGCTGTGCGATATATCATGACATTGTTATGAGCATCTCATCAGTAAAGCCGGTTCCTTGTTTAGAAAATGGTAAAAAAAAATCACCTTCGCCTGCTTTCAGACAGACTCAAGACTGTTTAAGTTAATGAGATAACTAAGTAATTAATTTAGTGATGATTGAGCATTATTGAAGACACATGTTGTTAACAAGCATTTGTCATATATGGCGATCAGTGTTTGCTTTAGTTGGGCTCTTGACCCTTACACTTTCACTTTAAATTTTGTTTGTCTGCTGTTATTGATTTATAAGAGGCAACTGAACAAAGAAAAGTGTAATCTGATAGGGTTGGTTATGTTTTGGCATAATCATGCTGTGATCTGAAAAATTAAACGTATTGGGATAGTTTGGATTAAGTTGTTAGCAACAGCTTTGTGAATCTACAGCATATGATTATGATTATCAGTATTTTTCTTATAATACAAAATATTTATTAAACATTGTTAAACATTGAATGTTATCTTTATTGCTCTTCATATCTTATGATGGTTTGTGATAATTTAGAACAGCATATGTGAAACATTTGTACTACTGTATTATGTAATACATAATTTTGGGGGAACAATTACTGAGTTTGTTTTTATCATAAATGACACTTTCATGTAATCCGATTGCTACAGTTACTGATGCCGATTCATTAATTATTTTTATTGCTAATCCTAACATTATTCTGCTTCATTAAAATACAGGTATCTAGAAATATAGAAACGAAAATAAATAATTTAAATTCTTCAAAATATAAATAATGGTAAGAAAAACAGTTAAAATCATAAACAGAAATAAATATATAGTAACCAACAAATCCCCTCAGTCTGATGACACCAATGAAATTAGATTTAAGTGACAATTTACAGGAGATGTGAAGACATCAGCATAATAAATGAGGTGAAAACAGGAACTATTGTCATGAAATAAAGAGTGTTTTCAGCAGATCTGTTAATATTGATGATCCTCAGACTATCAACAGTCATTCAACAAGCCATTCAGGATCATCAGCAGATCATCTCACTTTATTCTGTGTGTTTGCTGTTAGAAACACATTATTTGGGTCAGGATATAAAAGCCTATAAAACTGCTACACTGAAAGGCAAATGTATTGTATTGTTATTGTAATACATGTCCCCCCACTTTTTATACAATATAAATTCGTCCCCCGCACTTTGTCATAGGGCAAGTGGGTGTGTAATATGAGAAATAGCATGAACTGCTCGACTCACCTCACAACTCGACGCTGAAACTCAAGAAACGGCGCGAGCCGATAACGTCACCGACAGATGCTCAGAGACGCGAATGCAACCCTCACTTCAGCCAATAACAGACATATCTGAAGCACTTTAGCCAATAACAGACAGATCTGAAGCACTTCGGCCAATAACAGACAGATCTGAAGCATTTCAACCAATAACAGACAGTTCTGA